CCATCCAGCTGGCAGATGATGGAAGCCGGTTTCTGGTCCCAGCTCAAGTCGACGGATCCCAAACGGAGGTCTTTCTGCTCCGGCAGCGATCCCCGGCGCGGGGCGAGGGCGAGCCCCACTTTTAGGTCGTATCCTTCGGCGGCGGAAGGAGTGCTGGGAGATACGACCTGCACGGGGCTGTCCAAGGAGGCACCGGTGACAAACTCCCACCGTTGAGTACAGGGGAACTGTCCCCTCTGGCCGGGGAGAGGCTGCCTTCCCGGGATCCCGAGGGGGTTTGCCGCTGCGTTCTGGGTCGCAGGGTGCCCCAGCGGCCGTTGACGCAGGGAGCTTCGTCCGTGTTCCTGACGGGAGACTGAGAGCGGTATTCCCGCGTTTCGGGGACCAGGGCGGGCGGCGTGGCACTGATGGGAGAGGGGCGGGAGTTCAAGCTGGGACTCAGCGGGGCTCTCCCGCTGGGAGCTTGGCTGAAGACCACGACGCACTGTCCCACCTGGAAGAGGAGGAGAGGAGATAACAGGTCACAAACAGCCGGACGACCTTTTGGGCTGTATTGGGGTAAAAATAAGGGGTTACGGAGCGTTCCGGGCAGGCAATAATGATCAATGGATACATATGAGAGAGCAGAGAGCCCATTGTGTCCGTACCCTGCAGGCAGGATGGCACCACAGCTCCGGGGCTCCGTGCTCTTCGTTCTCCACCTTGAGCGGCTGCCACGTTTTGGGTGCTGGCGTGCATGTGCAGTAACCAGGCGTCTTTAAAGAGCTGCGAAGAAAAACGTGACAGACTGAGGAGCCCGGGTTGAGATTCAAGAGCCTGCTTTGCTGCTGAGATCATCTCGTCAGGGGTAGGAGTGGTGCTTTCCTGCTGCAGACAGAGGAACGGTGACCCAGATCAGGATCTGACCGCCCAGGAGTGACTACACCCTACTATGGCCATGGACAAATCTTCTACCCCGGCATAAAATCAGGACTAATTCTTCCGAGGCTCAATTAACTTTGGCGAGCTGCTCAGATAGCGCCTGGGGTGCTTTTTTCTTAATTAAAGCAGCTCCAGCAGCAGCTAGACGGCTTCCCTGGAAAAACCTACCGCGTGGGCGCCCAGATGTGCAGGATAAAATGCCGCCCGGGTAGAATCACAGAACGGTTTGGGCTGGAAGGGACCTCAAAGACCATCCAGTTCCAACCCCCCTGCCATGGGCAGGGACACCCTCCACTGCACCAGGTTGCTCACAGCCTCATCCAACCTGGCCTTGAACACTGCCAGGGATGGGGCAGCCACAGCTTCTCTGGGCAACCTGTTCCCATGGGATAACACGCAGTCCCTGCTCTCCTCAGCCCAGGGCTCACAGGACCAGCGAGACGCGGGCAGCTCGCGCCCACGCTCCCCCTAGGATACTCACTGCGTTGGGACCACCGCAGCCACCCAGGATTAAAATGGTTTCGTTGTCTATTACAATCTGGAGGGGATAAAGAAGACTGTTTCAGATGGGGAAGAACACGAAGCCATCCCCGGCGATTTCGGCAACACCTCCCCGTGCAGGCAGAGCCACATTACGCCTTCTCAGCTCTCAGATGCTGTGGAATTTTGTCCGTCCCGGGATGGAGAGCAGGTTTTGCTGAGCCCGAGGCAAAGCGGGGTGCAGAGTTCACCCCACTGCCTTGTCCCAAACGGCTCACAAACCTGCTCCTCCTACGGAGAAGAGTAATTACCCTTCCTAAAGCTGAGCCAAACAGCTAGGGACTCAACACCCCTCTTCAAATAAGGCAGAAGGTGGAAGGATTGTCTGGGGGGGCACGTGCTTGCAGCGGTATTTCAGTTGGTCCTGGGTTTTGGAGAGAAACACACTTTCAAGCACGACCCATCCGATTTCTTTTGGGTGCCCTGAAACGATCTGCACGCCGGGCACCACTGACTGTCCTCCTGGGGACCGTAAGGGGAAGGCAGGGATGGCAGCTGCGATGGAGACACTCGCAGCAAACCGGCTGGCTCCCACGAGCTCCCTGCTCGGGGCAGACAAGAAAACAGGCACTGCCAGAGCCGTGCTTCCAGCCGGGACAATCCAGAGTCACTCAAACTGAGAATTGAGAGAGCGGAGCGATCAAAAGGGCTCTAAACCAAACTGACTTGTGATAACACTTCATTGATCTTAAAATACCACGGGGTGTGGGGGGAATGATGGATAATCACTGGGTGAAAACGGCAATTTGTTTTCTAGAAAGGCTCGTTAGAGTTGTGAGTCATGCGCCGGACGCGGCGCGGTACCTGCCGGAGCGTTCGGGTGATTAAAAGCGTGCCCTCACCCACCAGATGGCTGGAGAAAACACGGGCCCGTTGGGCAAAGGTTGCAAAGATAACAGGGAAATCAGACAGCAGCTTTCAGGTGACTCGCAGGGAGCCGCCGGGAAGCTGGAAATTCAGCTCTGGGTGGTTTATTGTCGGCAGTGCATGTCAGTGCCAAGGACAAGGAGCTAGCCAAGGAGGCAGAACTCACCTGAGACTGGCCACCGCGCGGGTGAGGGCTGGGCCCGGAGATGTTGGGCTTGGACCAAGCCCACTGCTCGAGATCCAGCACCCAGACGTCGTTGCTCCTGCGAGGACGAGACAACAAACGTTGAGGATACAACCAGGCCCTCTGGGCATTTGAATCGCGGGTTCAGTGCAGAGGTTTTTGGCAGGATTGGGTTTTCCATGGGCTGGAACCTCGAGGGGATTTGCTATGAGACACGAAGGTGCGCTAAGGCAGCCCGCGGCCCCCAAAACCCTGTGGAGATTTCCTTCCAAGAGGCTATAAGGTACCTTGGGAGCACCACAACAGGCTCCTCGCTTGCAGGAGCACTTGTCAAGACACCCTCACCCCAGGCTTACATTTGGCGAGATCCCAGCGAGCCCCCGAAGACGATCATTTTGTCTTCGATGACGCAGGAGGAATGTCCTGCCATGGGAGGGGGGCCGTGGGTGGTCACGATGCAGTTCCACCTGGGGGGAGAGGAAAACATTCAGCATCGGGCCGGATGAACGGCAGAAAGAAAAAATCCCAGAGGCCGGCGAAGTCCTGGAGAAGACATTAGAGAGGAAAACCTCTGGGAAAACCTCCAGAGATCCAAAGAATAACGAAACTAATTAGAAACACGAAGGCGCCAAACATTTTTAAAGCATGACAAAGTCACAAGGCCAAATTGGAAATATCGCCCCTTTCAATTAAGTTCGCCCGGAATTATTTCCGAGGCGTTTTAATTACAGCGTCCTAACGACGCTGCCCCAGAAGTGCACTGGATTAATTGACACTTTTGATGATGAAAAGTCCTCAATGAAAGAGGAGCAGGAACCATCGCCGCTTTGATAGAGCAGTCGCTCCTTTCTCACACACAAGCGTCAGGGAGAAAAGTCCGGTCTAAAACCAGCCCAACGGCGTTTAAAGGGAAAGGGAAAATTCCTGCCATCTCCGCGGTGGCTACTGGATGCTTCAGTCCAGGAGAAGGAAAGGCAGAGAGATTTCTAACTGGTGCTGAAACCTGCTTTATTGTGTCCCAGGAGACGGAAGTTTTGGACCATCACTAAAGCAAGACCTCCAGGAATTAGGGTTTTATCTCCCGCTTTCCTCACTGTCTTGCAGCCAAGTCGATTACGCATTTAAAACATTCCCATCTGGATTTCTCTGGCTGGATGGGAAACGCTCAAGGAGTCTGGTGTATTTTAGGTGCGAGTCCAGAGCCATACGGAAGCGACCACCACCCAAGAGGTGGTGGACAGCAGCCACCCAGGTCTCTGCCGTGCTCTTGTGTTTTTTTGGTTTGTTTTTTCTTTTCTTTTTCCGTTTTGTTTCAATAAAAGCATCGCAGACGCACCAGGATTAGACACATCTAGGAATCCAAGTCCCCTACGAGCCAGTTCTAAGCAGGCTTGGAAAAACACCCTCCAGCTTCATGACAGACACGTTTTTTTACAGGGCTTCGAATCCAGATGTGCTCTTACCAGTTTTTGGAGGGTGAATACGTATGGATTTCATCGAAGAACCTCTCTGGTTGGTGCAGGGGGTAAGGGCTTGGCCGTGTCCACCCACCAAAAAGCACAAGTAAGTCCTTGTAGACCACCAGCGTGGCCCCAGCCTTGGGCGAGGGGTACGATCCTGGGCAGGGAGAGAGAAGGGAAAGGTCAGGAAAGGCACCGAACTCCGCGTGAATTTTCCCGAAGCGTGAGAACACAGCGATTCCACCTTTAAAAGAAAAAAAAAAAGAGCAGAAAAGAAGGCAAAATTAAGAGTCGGGAGCCTGGGAAGAAAACGACTGCCAATTTGTGTCATCGTAATTAGTAGGAGCCTGAAAGCACGTCTCGTGTGTGGCAAAACATCTGTCACTCACCGGCAGGAAATCACTACCTTTGGAAATGTTATCCTTGGAAATTATTGCTTTAGCACCGAATAAAAGCAATAATTACCTCCAAACACCGAGCCCCTTCTCCCCAGGGAAGGAGGGAGGACGGATACCAATCCGAAACGCATCCGGCGTCGCCGGCGGCAGATCGATGGGGTGCTCACGAGCGGCAGCGCGCAACGAAGCCCCTTTTTTTTTTTTTTGGCAAAGCAGCACGATTAAACCCCGAAACGCTTTGCTGCGTGAATTCACCGTCGCTCCTGGAGTCTGCGGAACAAAGTGCTCCTTTAAAAATTATTAAAAGACTTTTTGCTCCTTGCCGATGGATTAGGTGCCATACTGCTTCCCAGGAAAACCTAAAGCCTCTCCAGCCAAGGCCGACGCGTCCGAGCATCCTCCTTTGGCCGGCACCGGGGAGATTCCTCCACCTCTACAGTCGTGCTTTGAAAATAATCATGAATTAAACACCACCAAAAAAAAATTAAAAGGATTTATGTGCCTGGCTGTGGGAATTGGGTGCAGCTCGAGAGCAAGGCCACGCTCCGGAAAGGCTGACCCACCAAACCCACCTCTCTCCTCCGGTGTCCTAACGGGACTCGGAGAAACATTTTTAGCAGGTAACGCCACGTGGAACGGAGACTATTTTAAAAAGAAACCGGAGCAGCTATTTTAAGATGCTGCAGCTGAGAAAAACGATTCGGTCGCGACGGGTTCCAGAGCCCAGCCAAAAAGCAACCCCCGGCCAGACGCAGAGGAGATGGCCGCAGGGTTCCGGAGCTTTTCTCCGGGGACTAAGGACTGCTGCTCTCAGGTATATGGCTATAGGGGAAAAAATGGGAATAAAGTTGTGCAGGAAACAATCCTTGTGCTGGGGCAGAGGTAGAGCGTGGCCAGAGCTACACCCAAGGTGTCCTTAAAGATGACAGGGCCAGAAAAGGGTCATATTTGGTTACTCTTTGTTCCCAAATCCCAGTTTTCCTGGCTTGTTCTGTCTGTGAGCAATTTAATCCACACCAGCAGGTTTCCTGCTTAAATATTTCCCCAGCAGAGAATAAAGTTGCTCTCCCAAGCTTGGAATGACAAACTAGATGGCTAGAAACGTTTCTACGTGACTTGGAGAGAATCGGCCGCATGGGCTTCTCCATCGAGAACAGCCCGGGGTGAAAGGTGCTGGGTTTAAATTGGGTTATTTTTAAGGAAAAAGGGTTAGAGTCATCCTAGGATGGAGAAACAGATCGGTGCTTTGCTCAGAAAGGTCTGGGATGGTGCAGTGTGAGAAGAGCCACCTTCCTCCTGCTGTAACCTGAAGGTCAACCCCAACCTCAGACACCCAAGAAGGTTCTCAAATGAGTCAACGACATGTAAACAACAGCCCAGGGCAGAGGCTAACCCTGGTTTTTCAGGAAGCTTTGCCTGTTATGGGATGTTGTACAGCTGTAAATGAGCAGTTTCATTCTGTTATGCAGGGAAAAAAAAAAAAAAAAATCTTGAGTTTTACAAGTTGAAGAAGAGTTGGCTTCTCAAAGCATCTTCCAACCAGACAGTTGTGGTGTCTACAAGTGTTCTCTGCAAAAGCTTGTCGGGGAGGGCTTCAGAAATCTCATGTTTGAGTCGAAACATGGACAAAAAGCAGCTGAAAGCTGGAGAATTAATACTGCTTTATCGCTGAAGCCAAGGAGAGCTGCTGGGTGCCGCTGCCACCGCCCCCGGGAAGGGCAGGAGCATTTCAAGGGAGGCAGAGGGGGAAGGCGACCGGCAGCCTGGGTGACTTCAGGTCTCAAGTATGCGGAGGAGCGAAGGGACGGAGCTACCGGGGACATCAAAGGGACACGGCTCAATTAGTGGGGCCCCGTAACGACCTGCTCCAGGTCCGAGCTCTTCAGAGAACGCGCCGCACGGCGTTTCAAAGGCTTGCAGGAACATAGTTGGCACGGGAGGGCTTCTTCCTCTCCCAAATGAAACGGCTTCTGCTCCTCGCCACGGACTGAAGCGCCTGCAGAAGAACATCGTTAGCTAATTGCACTGGTTTCAACTGCTCCCTTGGCCAGGGCTGATGAAGAGAGCAGAGAGACTCTTCCTGGCCGCCTTGCCAAGCTCCACGCCCTGCTAACACCATCCAGCCCCGATATCAGGTTATCTTTCCTTGGGGATAAAAATTCAAGCACGCGGAGAGCGTAGCACAATCAACTACTCCTAAACATAGAAGGCAACAACCTCTTTACAGCTGACGCTGTTTCTTCCGTCGGGATGAGCAGCTAAAAGCTGGTCCGAGCTATTTTATTTCCAGTCGATGGATTTTCCTGGCTCGCAAAGCAGATACATACTTTTCAAAAAACCCCAAAACCAAACAAACAAAGATCTCCGGCTTCCACGGATGTTTGGAAGAGAAATTCCAGCCCCTGATCGCTTCTGACACGAGCTCTGGGTGCCATCTATTTAGGATCTGGCCTTATAAGCATTTTTTTTAAGCCCGTTTATTCAGCCCCCTAATGCAAGCGGAGCAGCACGCGCAGAGATCAGCAGCCACAAAAGCAGAGCCCGGCTGCAAGGGCACGTGTAACACGAATTTCCAGAGCAGCCTTTTAACCAACGGCAGGCGCGGCCTCGAGCGACTCCAAAAAACGAATACCAAGTGAAGCTTAAAATAAAAATGGGAGGGAAAATCAAATAATAATAATTAAAAAAAAAAAAAAAATCACACGGTGCCTCATTTGATGGGATTACCCAGTGGTTTGGGGAAAATATCGTAAAAGGATGCGCTGGAGCGGAGCAAAGGGTTTGCATCGTCTTGGGGGGAAGGTTAAGGTACGGGAAGAGTTCTGGGGTTGTGTCAAGGGGGATAAATTTTAGGGAATTTGATTATGACTGATTTCTGGAGATAGATGAGATGAGAGTTACTAATAACAGGCAGGGGCCATTAATTGCTGGGTCTGATGGATTTCTCGAGCCCATTCAGCTCCAGCGAGAGACGCCGCTATTCTCCCACCGACTCCAGCGAGCCGACGGCGGCCACTGCCGGCCGATTCCATTCACACGAGAACGCCAGGAAGAACAAAACCAGGCACACGACTGCGCTTCCAGTTTCAAAGTCAAGAAATTAAAGCAGGGAAGGGCACGGGGCTGACAGTCCCTGCACCAGGGAAAAAAGGGGCGAAGCGATGGTCCTGCTCCACCATGGCTCAAGCCACGCTGGAAACATGGTGGCCTCTTGCCAAAGCCGGCCTGTCCCTGCGAACAAATGGCGTTTGTTCAACAAAGTCACGTCCCATCGCAAGGCGATGCTTAGTTTGGTGGGTACGTTACCAGCAGAGCATGTTAGAATCACAGAACGGTTTGGGTTGGAAGGGACCTTCAAGATCATCCAGTTCCAACCCCCCTGCCATGGGCAGGGACACCTTCCACTACACCAGGTTGCCCAAAGCCTCATCCAACCTGGCCTTGAACACTTCCAGGGATGGGCCAGCCACAGCTTCTCTGGGCAACCTGGTCCAGTGCCTCACCACCCTCAGAGAGGGAAGAATTTCGTCCTCAGATCCCATCAAAACCTCCCCTCTTTCAGTTTAAAGCCATTGCCCTGCGTCCTGTCACTACATGCCCTTGTCCAAAGCCCCTCTCCAGCTTTCTTGGAGCCCCTTTAGGTGCTGGGAGGTGCTGGAAGGTCTCCCTGGAGCCTTCTCTTCTCCAGGCTGAACAGCCCCAACTCTCTCAGCCTGTCTCCAGAGCAGAGGTGCTCCAGCCCTCAGATCCATGTTCGTGGCCTCCTCTGGACCTGCTCTGACAGCTCCGTGTCCTTCTTGTGTTGGGGACCCCAGAGATGAACACAGCACTGCAGGGGGGTCTGAGGACAGCAGAGCAGAGGAGCAGAATCCCCTCCCTCGCCCTGCTGCCCACGCTGCTCTGGGTGCAGCCCAGGACACAGGTGGCTTTCTCCTGGGCTGCCAGCGCAAGGTGCCGGCTCACGGTGAGCTTCTCCTCACCCAGCATCCCCCAGTCCTTCTCCTCAGGGCTGCTCTCCATCCATAATCCCAAAGCAAAAGCCAGAGGGAGATGTTGAATAAGTCAGGTACAAAAGCAACGTTTGCTGGAGTTTCCCAAATGGTTCGCACCTCTGCAAAATCAGAGCGTTTTAGTACAACCCATCCGCAGAAGAACTAAAAGTTTTGGGGGATTTCACCCTGAGGATCTTGCGTTGCTTAAGGAAAAGTCAAAAAAAGAAGTTTTAAAAAGAAAATTCCTTTTAAGAACGAAAGAAATAGACCCAGCTATCAGATGCCACAGCAGAAACAAGGCTAACAGGATGGCTCGCACTTACAAAAGCCCCGTCTCAGACCTTTCCTCGCGGGAGAAGCCGACCGTCCTCTTGGTGTTTTGAGCCGTGTAAGCCTCTCTCGGGGCTGCCTGCGGAACGGGGAGCTCGTGCTCTCCCTGCCAGCCTGGCAGAGGCTGAAACCTGCTCCCAGGGACCAGCAGCAGCCGATGGGATGCTCCGTCTGGATTTATTGGCTCTGTTTTTAGGCTGGTAAAGACGTAAAGACGCCAAATCACGGGTGCTGATCTGGAAACTTCATCCAGCCCAGCACCATCACCTACCCCCAGCCGAGGGATTTACCTCGACTACGCTCCGTCACGCAAAGCTCCATCCAGCATCTGAAAGTCACCTTTTTTTTTTAATCCCAGAGACATTCAGAACAGGGCATTGGGCTTACAAACATTTTTCAAGACCGGCTTTGATTGAGCCTGCCTAACCCTTAAATCT